TCATCCCACACTTCCATTTTCGAAGGGATGCACACTTTGAATGATCATCTTTAACTACTGGGTCATCCATGAGACCCCTATGGATTTGAATTTTTGATATGTGCTAAGTACCTTTCTTTTGCTTCTAGCATGTATAACTTGTGCATTACCAAAAAAAATAAAAAATAAAAAAGCACGTATAACTTGCGGTATTCGATTTCTTAGGTGGGTTGTCAACTTTGTCATTATCCCTTGGTTGGATATGTCTCCTAACTCCCCTTATATTAGTTATGTGGCGGGACATTTTGTTGATTTAAGACAATCCATGAACCTTTTGGATTTGTCACGGCCTGACTTTTATAGTGCCACTTCATTGTCAAGAATAACCCTAGCTAATAGCTGGTTTAGCTATATATAAAGCCATTCATACTCAAGAGAACTCTTTTTCCATGTAACTGAGGCTAAATAAGTAAGGTTAATCCTTAATGACGTGATGGGTAGGTAGAACATTAGCTTTCATTTCACACATGATAATGTCTTATTTCTATGGTGTGTGATTCATCATCGTCATCATCATCCAAGCCTTAATTCAATTGGTTGCTATATGAATCCTATTTTGCCTGTATGTTTCTCTTGTGCAAAAATTTTAATGTCAGTTACCAATATACAACATTTCTCCTTTATTTTATACTTGGGACTGATGGTATAAGACAAGTTTACGCTAGTGGAACTTGGAATGTGATTAACTTAATTAGATAATATAAAATTGGTTTGGACTCATATTTAGGATCTAATTAAAGCCCTATTATTGTTGGGTTTCATCAAGCAATAGCCTAATAAAACATTGGCAGAATCTCCACTAACTTGTGTTTTCTAATCGAGCTTAGCTTATTGGTCCCTTGACGTCTACCCGGAAGCTCCAACTACTCTAAGCTCTCGAGTCCTGCTAATCATTTGAAGATAATTGGAATTTCAAATCATCAAGAACTAATTTGTAGAGAGTTAAAGATAATCAAGTTTAATATGAATTTGATTAGGTTATACGAACTGAGGCTCTACCAACTCTTGTAAAAATAAAATAAAATTCAAATTATAACGATGCACTTGACCTAATAAATTTACCGTTAGCTTCCGAGGGAAAATTCTCATTTTGTAATTTTTTTTTCATATATAATATCTCACTTAGGTGGTATTTGGTAAAATTGAACACTTACTATTTTAGAAGGGGAAAAAGATAGGACTGTCGTACTACACTCTCGTCACCATCATCATCTATGTCTACTTTCACTTATTTTTATGGAAAATTCTATGATGTCAAAAAGGCATGATGTTAGAAAGTCTTTGACCAATCAAAACCCCCTGTTAATTTTGTTGAAAATCCAGTTCCCATTATGATGATGCCGGTTGATTGGTAATAAGTTTTTCTGACGTTGTCTATTTGGCATCATAGTTTAACTTTTTCTTTTTTATAGCATAAAACCTACACTTATAGTTTCATTCTAGAGCTCCATATCCAAACACTTAGGCTATGTTTGGTTTGAAGCAAAATGCAGGGAAATGTAGGAAAACCTTTACAAACCTTGTATAGATTCTTATCTTTCCCTTCTTTTCCCTACCTTTTCCTTCAAACCAAACATAGCCTTAGTGGTCATCTTAGCTAATAGGTCATTGGCTGTTTGGTTTAAATTCTGAATAGTTAAAATCTATTTTTCTATTTTTTGGTACCTCTAAGTGTAATTAAATTAACTTGCTTGCATATGAATGTTGTAACATCCTAAAATAACAACATGGTCAATTTTACAAATTTACCCCTTTGAAATTGGAGAAGATAAAATAGTGTAACAAAAAAGTGGAAGTTAACTTCATCACTGATCACCATTCACCAATTTGTACTTTAACATTACTAGCTTTCCAAAAGAGAAGGGTTTTGGGTAGGAAGATAAAAACAGTGGCATCTTTATTAAATAATAAGCTTCCATAGGGTTAATTTTGAAAATAATGGCCCTCTCAACAGAGATCGACTTCTAGGGCAAATTTGCGCCCACACTCTTCTAACAGTCTTTTACAATTTTGCATTGAGAATATCTCTCTCCATGAAATAAAGCAAACAAGTATGGAGATATTCTCAATGCAAGACAGTAAAGCCTGCTCGAATGGGCTTTGCCCTCACTGAAGCCAAACTCCTCTCAATCACTAAAAAACAATTTTACAATTGAGTGTTTATTTAGAAATTGCATTAAACGAATTAGAAGAGTTCGACTTCAGTTAGTGCAAGCCCCATGCTCACACCGTTCACACATTACGAGAACGCACCACGCGTCCATAAGATTGTGATTTTGCTAAACTTGTGCAAGGCTCTCTCTCATACCGTTAACTTGAGTCTCTCAAATGAAATTCACACCATTTCAAGTTATCTCTTTCTCGCTTCTCTCTCTCCAAAACGAACCCACCGAACCCTTGTTCACTCTCTCCCTCTCCAACCGGCAACAACGAACTGGTGACAAAACACAAGTAACTATTCATTCCTTTTTGCTTCCCCATAACATAGTGCTTTGTCTTCTCCCATGAAAGACCTGACCCTAACTTGTTGATGGCATTGATATTCACTCACTCACTCTTTCTCTCTCTCTCTCCAACGGGTAGTGATGAACGACTTCATCAGAAACTATTCCATTGGCGACCGGGACAAATCTCAAGTAATTCCTCCTTTCTTTTGTTCCTTTTGCTCCCCGAAAACAAATCTTGGGTACTTCTGGAACTTAGGAGTTGGATGGGAGTTGTTTGAAACTTTGAACATGAAATGAGTTTCCGGATGGTTCCATTGAACAGATTGTTTCTGCTAAGAAAGAAACAAAACAATCGAAGTCAAGGAGGAAAGTGAGCATACACACAATGAAGAAAGCATGAACAATGTAGTTTCAAATCCAAGGGAAACCAAAGAGGATCCACAATCGTTGTCAACGAGAATGGATGATACCATTACTGGGAATGTTGAAACAACAAGGGACTCCTCGAATTCCCTCCAAAAGAAAGAGAGCGTGGAAGTGGGACTTCATGAAGAACCACAATCACTGGGAACCCAGTTAATAATGGATGAAGTGGAACAAGCTGAGGCAAATGTTCTTCCTCCACTATGGGAGTCATCTTCTGCTATTTATTTGAGTGAAGGTATGGATGAGCAAAACCTGAAGATAGAAGTGATTGATGAGGAGGGTCCTATTGTAAAAATTGAGACTTTGCATGATCAAGATGTTGGAGCTGAGACTAAGGCCTTTGTTTCAAGTTCCACTGGTATTGTCAAGGATGATCGTTCCAGGGAACCTTATGATAATCAGTTTCCAAATGCCCAGGCTCCAGAAATGGCTTCTAAATCTGTTTCTCGTACGGGCGAATTACTCAATGGCATGGCTGAAAACCAGCAAACTAATAATTTTGATATCACGCTTGAGTTAAGGGGCTAAGGGAGTAAGGTTGGACCAAGTTAGAAGTTACCAAGAAAAGAGAAAGTCAATTTGTATTAGAAAAATAAGACTGAAATCTGGAATTTTTAAGAATACTTCTAATATAAGTAAAAAAGACACCTAATTGTAATTACCTATTTGGTGTAAATGACCTTAGAGAATAGGATCATTTCTTTAAACCTTTCAAAAAAATGCAAGAAGCTATGAACGCCATTCCTTGTCTTGCAATGCTTGCCATTAATGGCATTTCTAAAGAGAAGACTACAAAGTAGAAACTAAGTTAGGTACTAACTACTAAGTACTAACCAGGAATTAAGTCAGTTCGGGTCAGTTCAATTTCGGTTTTCATGTGTGAAAATCGAAACCGAACCAATCCATTGGTTTATACTTTTTAGCAACCCGAAATCGACCAATGCTAAAGAAAACTTGACCGACTCAAGTTAGGTTGGACTGGGTTGGTCAGTTTGGGTCTTCTTATGAACAGCTCTATATTTCATCAACAATCGAATCTAAACTCGTTCATATGGAAGATGACCTCTAAACTCGTTCATATGGAAGAAAGGATTTAATAATGGTTTAACTTGTTGTGTGTTGCTGCTAATATTATTGTTGTCGCCGCTGCCGCTAGGTAGTAATAGATCGAGCTCCACCAATCTTACTGTTGGAATGGTTGGCTCCACCAAACTTGGTTCTTCCCATCACGTAATCATCGATTCCTAGTTGAAGCCAACCTTCGTCTTTCTGATCTTGTTGGAAATCCTTGGAGTTGGAGCCGACTTCGTTGAGGCTACTGGTTTTGGAGTCGTCTTCGGCCATTTGACCGACCACTAGATTGGATTCGGGGGAGAGAGAGGAGAGAGAGGGAGAGAGAGAGAAACGTGAAGGAATGGATGAGTAATATCGAAAGGTCTGGGAAGATGAACAATGTTTTTCTCGTTTAATTATTATAAGGGTAATATGGGAATTAAAAGATATTATAACGGTCTTTTTGGAGGGAAGGCTAACGAAAAGGAGTCTTTGCCTCACGATCATAATATAAATAGTCTTTGTGGCAAAATAAAGTACAGGGGGTCTTTGTCACATACCCCATAATACAGGGGTCTTTGTAATTTACCCTAAAAATAAAGGTCACGAGGGAAGGGATGTAAGTGTCATTTCAATAAAAGTGTAAGTAGATTTACGACTTTCACGTAAGCACATGAAACCAGAACCCATGCTCCAATCAGTGACAGAGTGACTTTACTCGAGGTCACGTGAATAGCAAAATTGCTCTCCATCGCTTTTCTCTTTCTGTCTCTTTCTTTCTTTGCTGGTGACAGCTAAAAACAACGGTTGAAGCTGCGGATCCGGATTCCACGACATCTTTTTCTGGGTCCCTCTAGACCAATCACCTTCGAATACGTATTAAAAGCTGGCCCCCACCTCAATCATCAGCGACTCTTTCCCATGCAACTCATTACTACGTCTCTCTCTCTACTCTCTGTGGTTACTGTTACCTCCCTTCAGCTCAGACGCGTAGGACGATAGGATTTGTTGTGCGTTTCGGCTCTAAAAACAAAAATTGGGTGTGTTCGTTTGTTTAAATATGTATAAATATCAATTAATGGCGTTTAAGGAATCGAAGCGAATTAGTGTCTGCTCTTGGGTTCTCTGCTCAAGAGCTGTCGGTGTAAACAGTCATAAACAACTCTCTCAGGCTTCTGACTCCTTTTCTTTATCAAAAATTTTGGGGCTTTTCGGGATTTTTCAGGTCACTTTCAATAAATTTTTAATTCTAAGGTTGGTTGTATTTATGGGTCGGATTGTTCGAGCTTGAGAAATGAAATGCTGAGCTGGGCTTAGTGTCGGATTGAAGCCAGGGGAGGCTGGGTGTTCTGTGATTATCAACCTTTAGCAAGATCTGCCTTCTTGGGTTTTCAGGTAGAGCTAATGGTTCTAGCTTCTTTTTGGTTGTATTTTTGTTGCATTTGAGATTAATTGAACAAACATGTTTTGCATTTCTGTTTTTGAGTTCTGGAATGATTAAAAAAAAGATTGACCTTTTTTAGATGGGTATTCTGCTTTTGTCGGTTTTATTAGAAGAAATGCGCACTTGATGGTTATGTTCTTTGATTGTTGAATAGAGGCATTTGTAGTGGAAAATATCCCTTTTCTGGATTTTTTTTCTCGACTAGAATTGGAGAAAAACTAGTTAACTAAAGCTCAGCACTCTTCCTTCTTAGCTATATGTTGGGGAGAAAGCGCATTGGTGTTCTTGAATCGTAAATGCTGAGCGGTTCTTCTTTTTTGTTTTTTTTTTCATTGTTTTTATTTTTACTTATTTATTTATTTATATATATTTTTTTTGTTTGAATCACTTCGTGGATTGAAACGAAATAACAGAGGATATTGGGTAGAATGGAGTTGGTTTTAGTTTTATACAACTGATAAAGTATATATTGCTCTATATAGAAGAAATAGAAAATCAATATATTACTTAACGTATTAGAAATGGATTCTTGGGATATCTGGTTTTTACTTATTGCCTAAAATTTTTGTCCATCCTTCTAGATTTCTCAGATCAAAAGTATATTTTTGGTGTAAAGTTTTCAAATGTGGCTGCCTAGCTGCTTTAGGGTGGGAAAAGTAATGAAATTTATTGTGATAGAGTGGTGAAATTGCCTCTTCCCTTCTCCCAATGGAGAATAGTTAGGAGGAACAAAACTCATCTCTTGGTGGGTACGTTATGGTTATAGAATTGGATTATTTTGCCATCAAAACTAGATTTTCTAGACCCCTTTTTAGATATGCATTTGCTACTTTGAAATTTATATGTTTTGCTTTTCATGACGTATCCCCTGTTTTGGCAATGATTTGTTATGCCCAGAATGATCAATGTTAGAGCAGTTGCATGGATAAATATTCTACTCTGTGCACTGGTTGCTTTGAAGGTGAATGGCGTCAATGTTGGAATTACTTATGTTGAAACTGCTGTAGCAAAGGGAGCAGGTGATACCTTTGTTAATCTTTTTCTTCTCTTCTATATTTTTTTCTTCTTTCAAGAAGGACAAGAAAGGATTGACTTCCTTGAGAATTTTCCTCAGCCTGTTAGTTTAATTCTAACAATCATATTCTCAAATCTAAATTGTCTTGCAGTATGCTTGGATGGGAGCCCACCGGCATACCACCTTGATAAAGGTTTTGGCTCAGGGATTAACAACTGGTTGGTTCACATTGAGGTTAGTCCTTACTTGGAAATAATAAAATTCTCTGATTTTGTTTTTCATGCTGAGTGTTTGGTCCTATAAATAGATGTTCTTCCTTTTCTACAAGTATATAAATTTGATTTCTAAAAAACATTTGGTGTCACTCCATAGGAACCGATACTTGTATGAATTATGTGCCTCAACAAATGAAATGCCATTTGGATGAATAAAATTGAATTGACAATTCTTTTGACATAGATGTAATTCAGCCAATTAAATGTGTTCTAGATTATACTTTGTGCATTGGTGAATTCATTCCCAGTCTGTCTTCTGGCCAAATAAATTACTGGTGATTCTGATTCTTACAGTTTACCATAAAGGATTTTGCAATTTGGTTAAGTCCCAACTTTTGCTCAACTTCTGTATCATATAAAATGTTGAGACATAATATCTCCTATAATAAGTTACCCTTAGAATTGGAACTCTTAATTAGTGGTTTCTCTGTACAATTGCCATTATTTTACATACCTCTGCAATCCATCTGAACTTACAGATGCTGAACACCTGTGACATGTTTCCAATGATTTCTATCATTACTTACTCGATAGGCAGTGGTGCAAGTGGTTACTTTGTTGATAATTTTTCTTATTTCCCATCCTTTCCTTATATTTCCCAGGGAGGAGGGTGGTGTAACAATGTTACAACTTGTCTTGCTCGCAAGAATACGCGTTTAGGTTCCTCTAAGCAAATGTTGACAGAAATTGCATTCTCCGGGATTCTAAGCAACAAGCAACAATTTAACCCAGGTTAAATTTTCAATTCATTGGATATTTGGATTTACTCCCTATTTATTAAATTTCTGTCTGTTGACCTTTACTATGTCGCCCCTTTCCTCTGAATTGACTCTGAGTTGTATTTCTATATCCAGATTTCTATAATTGGAACAGAGTCAAGGTCCGGTATTGTGATGGAGCATCATTTACTGGAGATGTTGAGGCAGTAGATCCAGTGAGTCTTTGACTTTGATCACATGCATAGCTTTAGTTTCATGAAAAATACCCAAGATCAATGTACATTTTACAATGTTGTTCTTTGTGGCTTCTATCATTCTGATCAGACCACCAATCTTCACTACAGAGGAGCAAGGGTTTGGCTTGCTGTTATAGAGGACCTGCTAGAGAAAGGGATGAAAAATGCTGAATATGTATGTTGAAAATTTACTTCTCTTTATTTTTTGATTATAATGTCATTGGCCTTAATAACTCAGAAATTGGTTACAGGCCCTTCTTTCTGGCTGTTCAGCTGGTGGTTTGACATCCATTCTGCACTGTGATAGCTTCCGTGCACTGCTGCCTATGGGTGTCAAAGTAAAATGTCTTGCAGATGCTGGTTATTTTATCAATGCGTAAGCTCATATCCAAGGACCTCTCACCTATCTTGCTTCACAAACTGCAAAGAAAAAAGATAAAAACAAGCTTGCACTTAAAACTGATATTGCTGCATGACAGGAAAGATGTATCTGGAACAGAACACATACAGGCCTTCTATGATGATGTGGTGACAACCCATGTATGTTTTCTTCTCTTCTTTAGATTAAGTAATAGGGTTTCACTTAATGAGGTTCATATATTTCATATGTTTCATAATTCATCAGAATGTAAAAGGTACATAGCAGTTAACCCGTTCGATGTTGTGGCTTATGGAGCTTCTAAGGAGGTATTGGGATACAACCTCTTAGAACAATAAATTGGGCATTGTTGAACAAAGCAATTTGGAATCCAGTCATGACTAGATTCAGTGGAGAGTCATTGCTAACTAATGAAGTGTTTACACCATAGATAGAAGTTGAGAACAATGCAAGCTACCAACTTGGTTCTAGTATTATTAAAACCCTCCTTAAGAAGAAGTGCCAATTTCGGGAAGCTATGGTAAAATATCAGGCTGAAAAGCATGAAGACATGGGTTAGTATGAGAGTGGCCACTTCGTGCCAAAAATACTGGAGGCTAGGTCAGTATCCAACCAACCCTTCCCAAGACTGTGGATAGTTGGGACCAACATTTGGCACCATTTAAAACTCTCCATAAAAATTTAAGGATTGATTAATTTTATGCCTTTCAACATGTGTAATGATGATCAGATTCATTTCTGGAATGATATAGGACATGAAAGTAGATTTTTATTTGCTGAATTTCCTTCTCATTATTTGATGTCTCTTTGACAAGAGATGACTGCGAGAGATTGCTATAGAATAAAAACAAAGTTGCTGGTATCCCCCATGGATGTCATTTTGAAGTTGTTGATCTCCTTGTTGGACTTAGGTGACCAAGCATAACCAGATGAAAAGAAGATACTTAGCTTTTGGTTTGGTAACAGTGATGTGACTTTCTGGTGAAATGAAAAAAAAAATCAGAAAAGAAGATAACTACGTATCATTTCTTGGTGCAACATTAAAGTTTGGGCTAACAAGCATGGGAATGTGAGTTTAAATCTGAGAGTGGACCCTTGTGCAAAAAAAAAAAGGAAAAATAGTCAAAAGTCTAGGTCCATACTCCATATCTAGTCTACCCTCCAAAGACCCCAGATATCAGTGACCATCACTGGGTAATGCTTTGGTAGTAAGACAACTTTCCCATGATGGCTCTAGCCTGCAACCAAAAACATCAAAGATTTGCCTGAGTGGAAGCTTGTCTTACAACGTCTTGACTCTTGATCATCTAATATCCTAGAAAAGAAGACACTTTATATAGAACCTTGAACATTCAGAAAATCCATGAGTATACTCTATCAATTTCTGCAGGAAGTAGTCAGTGGTCTTAGGTAACATGAAGCAGCTTTCTCAGGCTTGGCCTCTGAGAGGTTTTAGGTCTAGAAGTCATATCTTATGGAATCTGCTTTCTAACTGCGTTCTGTTTGAGTTTGTGGAAGAAATCAACAACCATTCGTTTTTGACAATAGGAGTTGTCTGTATACTTGGGTTATTGGATTTATTAGAAAGACAGCTGCTTTGGTGGGTTTCAATAGTTATAGAATTTAAGTGATCTAAGTATAGTATCTTTAGGAAACATTTGGAGTAGGGTGTCAATGGATCGGTTTTGGGTTGGATTCCGCCCAAATCAAAATCCATTTGGACATATTGGATGGACCAATAAGACATATTGAATTTGGACAGACTGGACGGACCAATATGACATATTGGATTGGACCTAGTCTGTCCATAAAGAATTTATATTGGATTGAGTCAATATTTGGTCCATTGATAGAAAATAAGAACATAGGTATCAATGGACCAGGTTTGAGTTGATACCAATCTAAATTAACAGGAATTTGAACAGATTAGACAGTCTTTGGACCGGTCCAAAATATTCATTGGACTGGATTGGACCAGGTCCATTTGTAATGGACTCACATTGGACCCAGATTGGACCAAACCCAATCCAATTGACACCCCTAATTTGGAGGATGTCTTTCAACCTTATCTTGTCTAATTTTTGAATGTGTCTTGCTTCATGATCAGATAGATTTTTTTGATAGACATCATGACAATGTAGATTTTTGTATGTAAGGCATGCCCTTTGTTTATAATCAATACAATTCAGCTTATTTAAAGGCCACCTTCTTTCTAAGGTCCTGAAAAAAGGATAAACAGAGAAAAAGTAGAAAATTCTACTGGGTGTCTGTTATGTTACTGAGGGTAGTCTCTATTTCTTGAAGGTCAACTCGGACCCATTTGTTTTTCTGATACATTGAGGTGGAATATTGTACATGTTTCCTTGAAATAAGTTGGGATTCTGTTACTTTAATGATAATTTTGTATCAACATCTTAGGGATCATCAAAGAATTTACCTGCGTCTTGCACTTCAACAATGAAACCTAGTATGGTAAGAATTCTTGTTCTAATTGTGTTTGCCTTTCATTAATTCGTTTTATTTTCAATATTCATACTTCAAAAGTGTCCTCAGTTTTGCTGATGCATCTTGTCCAAATGATAGTGCTTTTTCCCACAATACATGGAACAAGGAATCCGTACACCACTTTTTCTATTAAATGCAGCATATGATTCTTGGCAGGTTAGCACTTCCCTAGTTGTATCTCTATACAGTTCAAGTACCTTCATGTTCTTATCAACTTGGCTATGGATCCTCCATTTCACTCACACAAGACAAAAATGGATTGTTGATTTCTAGTTCTTATTTTTTCCAGATAAAGAATATTTTGGCACCAGGTGTTGCTGATCCCCATGGCTACTGGCACAATTGCAAGCTTGATATCAAGAACTGTTCACCCAGTCAAATCCAAACCATGCAAGGTTACTGCACTTAGCTCTCCTTCACACTCTTAAAATCTGAATATCCAAGGATGAATAATCTCAATGCATGTCCTCAAACACAAATTTGTGGTTCTCTTTCTATGGAACAGCCTCTCTGTGTATCTGCAGGGGTAAGGCTGCATATATCTGTCCCTCCCCAGACCATGCATTGGTGGGAGCCTCATGCACTGGGCTGCCCTTTTCCATAATTTTTCTCTAAAAAATTAAGAGTAGGGGTGTATTTACTCTATTGAATACATTGCCAACTTTTATTTTAGTAGCAAACTGTATGTTACTTTGTCAGTTTGGCTTAGTTTGGGATGAGTACAAATGCAAATATGTACAGTGCAAAGCCTTGTATATTGTATTTCTAAACCTTCTATTTTCACTGTGTACATATTTGTAAACTGAGCCTATGTAAAAAATCCCATGAATTGTGGGCTAAATTCTTAAGGGAATGCAAATTCCCCAAAGGAAGGGGTTATATTCATAAATGCAGATAGAGAAGTATTTTCAAATGATATGTTTATGAAATTAATTGATTTATTTGTTGAGTGTATTTTCCACATTATTTTGGAGTTGCCTATAGGAAACAATTATGTGTGTTAATAAAGAAAGTTCATGACGTAACAGGTTTCAGGGTGGAGTTTTTAAATGCATTGTCAGGACTTGGGAACTCTTCTCCGAGAGGAATGTTTATTAACTCTTGCTATGCCCACTGCCAATCTGAAATGCAAGAAACATGGTTAAGAGATGACTCTCCAGTTCTTGATAAAACAGTAAGTTTAAGTTGCCTTTTATGTTTATTAGTTTACTGGCATACAGAAACCTAATATGTATTATGCATAATTATGTTTTGCAGCCAATTGCAAAGGCAGTTGGAGACTGGTATTATGACCGAAGCCCCTTCCAGAAGATCGATTGTCCTTATCCCTGTGATGCAACTTGCCACAACCGCATTTTTGACCCAAATGAACATCCAGGACTATAGCTTACAATTCTCATATAGACACCAATCTCTATTAACAAGCCATACCCATAGATAAATCATGATCAAATTACAGCAAATTAATGATCAACCATATTGTCTGAGTAACCAAAGGTCACCACAGCACTAAACTCAAGTGTCAGGTGCTTTGCATTATATTATTGTATGTTTCCGTAAATGGAAAAAATAAGGTCTAGAAATCAGGAAATAAAATCTAAATTCCTGTTCCATGGAATGACTGATAAGATTCATTACCATGCCGGTATATCACATAAAGATCATGACTGTATTATTATGTATTTGATGATTATTCGAGCAATAAAAAATCAAATTATTTTGGTTATTGCTCGTTTTTTAGTATCTTGTTATTATTACATGGTTGATTACATCTTGCTTAGTTTATTTAATTGTTGATATAATACACTCAGTCTCATACAATGAGAATTTGATTTTGGGAAATGGTGGGTGTCAAGTGTGTCAGTGTTTTCCAAAATGTCTTGGCTCATTCTTTACCCTAAAATGGAGCATATAGTATTCACTATGGAAAGTTTGGTTTTTGGAATACATCAATTTTCACTGCTGCAAGTTGGATGCCTTTATGATGTAACTGAAATGGCAACAGTCTATTGAACCTCCCTACAAGTGCAGCAAGTGTAAATCCAGAGATCAGTGAGAATGGTATTATGGAAGCACCCCAACAATAAAAAAGGGCAGCCCAGTGCACGAGGCTCCCACCAATGCGGGGTCTAGCCAGAGACAGATATACGCAGCCTTACCCCCATGCAGATACATGGAGATGCTGTTTTCAAGATTTGAACCCTGGACACCCAGTTTGCAATGGAAGCACCCCAATTCATCCTAAATTTAACATCAATACATGGGTGAAAAAGGATGGAAGATCTACAATAGGATTCATTGTGCAGGACTTAACCAATGACTCTAGATGTCAATACAGCAAAATTGGACAGCTATGGCCTATGAGCGTACCTCTATGGCAATAAGTTCATTTATTCTTTTTATATTTTTTTTTGAGGAGTCCAATCGGTAATAAGCCTAACCTGAGTATAAAAGAATTCGGGGGGACTCCAAGCCAAGCATATTCTTTATCTGTGGTAGGACAGATATTCTTTGCAGCCTGTGGACTCTGTACTACTGGCGCTTAAGGAAATGAAGACATCTATTTAAGTAGATTGAATGTGGAAATTCCTGCCTTTCTCTTAGAAAAGAAAATTGTCCTAAGCAGTAAATATATTTTGTTGCTTACTGTTCACAAAAGAGTTGAATCAACTAATTTAGTAGAGAAAAAGGCCAATAGTGCATCATGTAGTATGTTTTTGGAGCTTATCAAGCAAGTGTGGCTTTTGGTTGATTCAACTTTTCTGGTCCTGTATAGTAATGGTTGATTTCTTGAATGGTTCTAGAGGCTCACAAACTCTTTCGAGAGGAGTATAGAAAAATATCAAAAGTAGAAGGAAACTTCAATTTTCTGCAGGAGATGTGATCAAATAGAAATCTTACATGTTTAGAAGTGGAACATTCTGAATTTCTTTATATGGTGGAAAGAGATTATTGATTTCTTGTAAACCATCTTACCACAAATGCAGCTTCTCACAAAGATGAAATCATTGTAAAGTGGGCAACTTCTCTGCAGTCTCCAAATATAGATTACTTTTGAGGCTTCAGTTGAAATGTGAGCAGCAGAAAAAGGTCTTTTGCCCAGGACTGAATGAGAACTCAGAAAGCATTTATAGAGAAAAGAGCATTAGAACAAAGATATGCGATCCTTGTTACCTTTGATATTGGTATAAATACTGCCTGGCTGGATGGAGAATTTGTATCAACTGTGGACAGATAATGTGGAAAAAGTTAGATTCCTTGGTGCATTAGGTGGATATAGAAAGTTCCACCAAATGAGAAAAGTAAAAGAGGAAGGCCCATAGAGAAAAATATTCAGAGATTCTCTTGTATATCTCAAGGGCTGACAGTGGGTGTCTGGTAAGATGAAATGATTTCTCAAAATTGCCTTCTCAGGAATCACCAAATTTTGAGACATCTGGAGAAACCCCTAATTTTTTCAAAAGACACATCTGGATTCTGGAAGAAATAGTGTTTTTTTTTTCAGCCATCTATTTGACCTTTGCCCCAATGGATGGCTTCAACTACCATTTTGAGGTGCCTTACCAAATAGGATTTCTCATAGTGATTTGCAAATCAACAGCTGATGGGACAAGATGAAAGAGTAGAATTAGCTAATCAAATTCTTCTTACCAAACATACCATAAGTGGTTAGTTTATTAACTTATTCAAGATACTAAATTACTAATCCTTGAGAACAAATGAGCACTGGTCAAAGCCTATTTTATTTTTGGTGATATCAGTGTCCCAAGTAATCCCTGCCTTGTATAGCTCGTTGTGGTTCAGGATGCAAAAATAAGACTAAGAGCTCTATAATCTATATCTTCACTGGTTTCAATGAAGAATTAATTCTACATTGAAATCATCAATGGGTATTTGGAAGGATAGCCATGTCCAAACTCTAAAGGTAATCATCATGCTTTGGAAAATGTATGTTACTTTCATTTGGGTCAGCGATTCGATGGATTTATCATTTATGTCGTAATGTTATTCTACTGCACTATTCCACTTTTTGTTGGCAGCTTGTCAAGCAACTTGGATTTGAAAAACCAAACCTTGAGGTTGTGTTTGTTTGACAGAAATTAAGAGAGAAACAGAGATATGAGGGAAAGTTTTCAAGTCTATCAGAAATTCTCAACTTTTTGAAACTAAACATAGCCTGAACTAAATTTATTATTATGACAGGCAACAAGTCAGCAACTGCAGAAATAATATGTTTTTTGAAACCCAAAGGCAAGGTCCATTCACCAAAACATTTACATTCCATCAGAGACTACTGACCCCAGCCTCAGGAAACTGGGTACAGTAGACCAAGTATAATCTTAGGTCTACACATGGCATCTAATTAAAATCAAATCAAATCTGATTAAAGAAATCCAAACTGAACCCACTTATAATTTGATCAAATATAAAATATTTTAATTAACTTTAGTTTAATTTATTAATAAAATTCAGTATTCAAATATAATTTGAATTCAAATATCAACAAAACAAATTTGGATCTAGTTATATCCCACTTAATTTCTTTTAACCACAAAATTTACTCCACTTAGAGGGGCGGCCACCTTCAACCTATATCCCACTTTTATCCAACCAATTGCAGCCCTATAATCCTTCAATAATAAGGCTGTGGGACCAAGGAATCAATTCCAGATTTCAAATATCTGGTGATTATTATTTTATGGATGGCATCAGACGTATCTTTCCCATTATTTCATGTCTCTATCCAAAGGATGATTACATCCAACTAATTGCACACTTCCATATGACCGGTGAATTAACATTAATTGAAAAATATATGATATGGAAAAAATATGATATATTTAAATCCACCCAAGAATTTTGATAAATAGCACCTCATTGGCTACTGATTCTATTTCATTGGTCAGACGTTTTTCTGGATATTATATCTTTTTTTTTATATCAGAAAATCTCGAATGAGATGAGGACACATGGCGAACATTTGTGAGTCCAATCAACCACCAAGGTCGTGACAATATCCCCAAACTTCTCTCTCCGTTGAATTCACATCTGCACCCCATAAGTGCCCTACAGTACATCCAACCGTGTATTGAAAATATCTTTAGTACTTATCATTAGGAGATGCTCTCAATATATGGTTGGGATGTGCTGTGAGACACTTGTGGGGCGTAGATGGAAACTCCTTCCCGTTCTTGGCAAATCATATCACGTACGTCTCTAATGTTTTGGGAAGCTGGCATGTATTCCATAAATGAGGAGCACAATGGCATACCCCAACAATCCAACACCTATACAAGGGCACATTGTCCAAACTCTCCTAAGTTCAGTTGCTCTCTAAGCTTTTTAGTTCATATGGCTAAGTTTAATTCGTCTTATTCAGTTCGACCTAACTGACCACTTCACCTCTTCTACTGATTTGAGCATGAAACTGCTCTTTCCTAGGGATCCCACCTCGGGGCCTTTGACTCTTTGTATATGTGCATGTCATCAAATTTGTATGGCTTGTCCACTTCAACTTGAATGGCATAAAACCAAACATAACTTGTCTGGGCCAAGGTATGGCCCAGAATTGTAAATGGCCGGGTTGACCCGAAAGAATAGAACCAAGAAAACCCATTTTATAGGTTTGGATTAGCTATGCATTATGGGTCTCCATCATAATTGGCGGTTTGAGATCAACTTTGGTTGTTGCAAACTGATTAAGAGCCGAATCGGCTATTTATAAATCATTCCACAAAGATACTTCCTTTCCGATACCTTTCTTTCTCATCGTATACTTGTAATATCAACATATCATCATGTCCAGACGTGTTAATAAATTACAGATTTATTATCAAATAACATCTTAAAACTTAAAAGTAGAGCTGTCAATTATATAATCGGATCTTAATGGGTCAGACACGGTTGTTCCAATGATGGAGACCTGTTCATGGGCCAGGTTTAGGGTTCAGCTTTACACTGTCTCGGGCTCACATATCAGGACGGGTTCATTAGAATTTTGGCAAAATGGAAGCCCGAACCCGAGCCATGAATGTGAAACATTTTTGGTTATTAGAGCTACAAGCAATTCTAAATATTCTTTTCTTATGTTTTGATGACATTTTACAGATAAAATGTTGGGAAACAAATGATTTTCTAGAAAAATTCATTATAGGTAAAATGGAAATACTTTTCAAAAAAAAAAATACTAATATATAAAGCCCGACTATTAGTTCTATTCTTGAGCCCAAGCCTGGCCTTAATATAAAGCCCGGAGTTCCATATTTTTCTTAATTTGTTCTTATCCAATCACACATTTGGTTTATGAAAAATAACGTGTCGAAGATGTAATTATATACTTGATGTAGGGTGATTTGGCCCGACCTAATAATAGAGGGGCACGTGGACACGACCTAGCTGACAAAATGACAGCTCATCCCAATGTATCCAAGTCTGTGACGGATCAAGCTCGGATAACCGAACCACCTCGGGGCAGGTCCACCTCGGAAGCGAATCCACCTCGGGATAAGTTCACCTCGGTTACCAGGCACCTCGACGTTCGTAACAGGTCAGACCCGGGGGGCATCAGTTCAGATAATATTGACCAGCCTCCACAGGATAATCCCAAAGATCTCGTCACCGGATTCCATGTTTCATGGGATCACGCCTCGTAACAACTGGCCTTATCTCCTCCGACCGATTCGGACGGCAGCGATATGCCTTATCGGCTTAAGACGTTATCTCCTATTAATTCGGTAACGGGCCTCATCACGACAAGGATCCCGGAACC